CTATAAGCAAATATAATCATTCCTTTTGTTTACGGCTTCCTTTACTAAAGCCATCCATCAAGACAGGTAACAGACAATATTACAGTACCATTAAAGCAAAAATTACAGACAATTACAAACAGTCAGATCATAGAAAAGCATTTTGCATTAACGAAATGGAAACTGACGAGGGGTTAGGGGGTCGCAAATGAGGAGAGGCTGGAGTGAACTTCCTCTCCTACGTCAGTAAGCTGCACAGAAGCTTCGAGGCTCTAGTGATTCGCTGAACCTAGACGACGGTATTAAGTCCAGAAATGAACCGGTCATACATGTAGGTTTGCCTGGTATGGCCTGTGACGAAGAAAACCAAATCAGTGACGGACAGTGGAAGTGGGCATACTGCATAAAATCAGTCGTTACTGTGTACCGCGATGATAAATGATGCCACGATGGCTGTCAAAATTTTTTCTGTACCTAAGGTCATGATGATTCATCACGCATGTTATCTTCAATTCTTCAATTTCAACATGTCTTTAAAGCGAATGCGTTAAGGACATATATTCTCATCATAATGACGGGGTGTCCGACATATAAATGCTCCAAGACCTGATATCATGGCATATTGCACTGCCTTCCTCGATCCTAATTCTCTAATGGGCCATTTAACTAAGGTACGACAACACGGTATTTGAGCAAGCTTCGAAGACGCTAGTACCACCGTTCACAGCCAGTTCTTTTTAAAGAGCTGGCATTCTTTAAGTGCTAAATGGCACATAACTCCTTAAAGACTAGATTTCTTTGAATCACCGACATATTTTACCTAAATGAATATATAATGACTCATCTAGATGCTTATTCCATTCACAACGCTAAAACAGACTGGAATCAATGCAACCTGACCGGACCGGTTCAAGGAATACCACATTCGTACTTTGATTAAGGAGGTCAATTATCCTACATGCTAAGACATATCTCTCATTTGAAGGAGGCGACATCAACCACGAGGAGGTGCACAAACCTTCATCACACTTGGTACTTGCTAATTTGAACCAACTCCACAAACGCTTTAGTCTAGTCGCCGATGTGCAAATGGTCATGTTCCTTTCCTACACCTTCACAGCACTTACTTGCACGAGGTTCGGCAGGGTGTGAGAAAGTCGAGGCAGTCGACCTTCCGGCGACGCCATTCGGAGGATATGGTCGGAGGCTTGAGGAGCACCCGTTCGATGATTGGCGGAGCTGGAATCCGTTTGCAGCTGACGGCTGACATCCGCGGTCAGAATGAGCTGTACGCAACGCATGGCCGTTGTGAGATGAGCTGACCGAGAAATGACCAAGAGCTGACCGAGATCTGACCAAGAGCTGACCGAAAGCTGACCAAGAAACTACTCCGGTATCCGGTGAAGACTACCGACCGCCCTACGACCAACTGTCGACGTGGTTGCGGTTGTACTAGTGTACGAACTTAGAAATTAATAATCGATCATGCACGCACATGTGTCACCTGATCTGTGCAGTGGTTACTCGTCTTGCCACCGACGATGCG